GTTTGGTTTCAAGCTCGGACAACTAGACAAATTAATCAGATTTTAGTTTTAATTGGATTAATGTTTTAAATTAATTAAACGTAATCGCAGCCAGAGATTAACGATTAAAAAAATGTTATCATTAATCGTACAGTTGATTACGACTAATTAATTTTAATCGTCAAACGCGATTAACATTTTAATCGTTAATTTTTAATCGTTAATCAGATTAACAGTTTGCCAACACTGTGTGAAATCATGTTCATATTCACGGAGAAAAATGGACGTTTTTGGAAAAGAGGCGTAGCACCTCCCATACTGACTGAAAGTTTCATATTGCATATCTCTTCAAATGTTTGGGGTAAAGCACTCAAGCTTGGTATGGAAATACATATGTATGCATGTATGTATGTGAAACTAATACCATACTCATGGAGAAAAATGAGAATTATTGGAAAAGGTGGTGGCAACTCCCATGCAAATTGATTTTTCGATGCTGCATATCCCTGGAGCTGTTTATTGCAGAGGACTGGAACTTGGCACCGAGATGTGTATACAAAATTAATTCCATACTCATAGAGAAGAATTTGCGTTATTCGAAAAGGGGACATGGTTCCTGCCGTACAAATTTACTGTTTTATACTGCTTATCTCTAGAGGTGTTCATGGTGGAGTACTGGGACTTGGTACTGGGGTATGTAAAATCAATTCTAAATTCATGGAAGAAGATTAGGGTTATAAGAAAAACAGGCTTGGCACTTCCAGTACAAATTTACTTTTTCTTGCCACATATCCCTGGAGATGTTTGTGGAAGACAGAATACATTTCATTAAATGGAAAAGGGAGAGCCGGGTTCGACCTTATAATCTACAGCTCTCTTGAGGCATTTGCTACAGTAATTAGAAGTGGTATTTTATCAAGGCCAGGCCATATATTTCGTATGCCTAGCGCGCAGACGAGATTTTATAATTTCATACGGCCTAAATACCTTAACTCGCTTAAAAAATAACGAGCTATAACGAAATGGGCACAGAAATAAAATCTAACATCATTAAATTATTTTTCATATTTGTATAAAAGCGCGGGGTGAAACCCGCGGATATAAGCTAGTATATATATATAAACAAGAATTGCTCGTTTAATGTAATAAGATTTCCAGAAATACGAAAACTGTGATATTTTAGTAACTACTGAAGATAATTCACTCAAAATTTATATTTACAATAATTTTCAGACGAAAAATAAGAATATTATAAATTTTTGGAAAACGGGCTTAGCCACGCCCACTTACTTACATGTTTTGTTTTCACTATTACACTATTACACTATTACTTAAGTACCTAACCCGCTTAAGTTCCCAACATTTTTGGGCATTGTGAATTTTTTTAATGTATTCTGAAGGAAATCCCTCTTTTAAGTACCTCCCCGCTTATGTACCCCACCCGCCTAAGTCCTACATTTTTCGTACCCCATTTACCATTTTACCTATAATTTTCCCCTTTTAAGTGCTTTTCTTAACTTTCTTCAAACATTTACATATTTTGAAATTCAGTGGCAGCGCTACACATCTTCTCTTAAAAATCACAATCTCACATTCTTAAAAATCAACGCTAATTTTTAGCCACTTGAACCTTGCGCATTATTACACTAAATGGGCTACAAAACTGTATACTCATAAAAAAATTTAACACTACTGAAAAACCAGTTTGAAGTGCTCTGAAAAATTTTGATTTTGGTCCAAAATGATATGCCCTGTTTGTATGTATGTAAAAATATGTATAATCAATGACTTTTTAATTTAATTCTTGTGAAAATGACATGGCGTTGCGTTATCTGTTTTTTTAATAAAGTTTTCCTTTAAGTGTAAATAATGCTAAGATCTTGGTTTTAAATTAAGTATACTTCATTAAACGTTCATATTTTATTCAAGGACTTATTTATGTAAGTTAACAAGAAGATGTAACTACATCACAAACTATGTTTGCTTAAGTACCCGCATCGAGGTACTTAAGCGGGTTCTTTTAAGTACCCAACCCGGTTAAGTACCTCAAAAAGCTGCCATTTTTCGTGAGGTACATAAGCGGGTTTTACTGTACTCTTTGCCAGTGCACACTTCATTTTGCTTTGTAATGTCTCAATAATTGTTTGAAACCATGCAGAAATATAAACGCACAAATATTATAATTGTTATTTGGTTTTTCGTACATATGCTCACAATCCCAGCCTAACCTAATATTCGTCGAATCTATTTTTCTCAGAGATTGGCAAACGATGCTGATTTTGTGACTTTAAAAGCTCCCCTACAAGAACAGTGACTATCATTTGACAAATCATTTGAGTAGCAAGACTGATAGAGATTTTTGTCACTGGCTACCTACAAGTTTCTATCAAATTCTAAAGGGCAGTGTGAAAAATCTGATGGAAACTTTTGTGTACGTGTGATGCTTTTGCCTTTGCCTTTGAGTTCGGCCTTCAAATTTTAATCATCAGTGATGTAAATCTTCGACAATTATGAGTGATCAACCTTGATAGAAATATAAGTTAGTAATGTGCAATAAAATTTGATGTAATAACCGATCAATCATGACATATCAAGTCTGTCATGTTTTCATATCATTGTTGATTACTCACAGTTGATGTAAAAATTCGTCTAGTCTGATCTCTCTCCCACGATATAGAAATCTATCATTAATGACACATGTAATACTTGTTTTTTCTTTTATTTTCATAAAATCTTATGAACTAATAATTGATCGTCAAAAATTAGAAGCTAAGTACATTACATCAAATTAGAAGCTAAATACATTACCTTAAGCACAGTACATTAAACATTAATAAGGGAGGAAATGTGGCCAAAAATTAAGCAAAATAAGGCGTTTCTATTATTTTTGCCACCAACGTACATATGTACATACTTAAATCTAATATCCTAATATTATACATTACATTGAGCTCAATTGCCTTCCTGATTTCTTTTCGAACTCAACAGAACCTTTCTTTTTAAATGCACCTAAGTGGATTGAAATAGATTATCAAAAAATTTGTATTGTTAAAAGATATGTACATATGTATACGGTAGTGGCCACATAATTAGTGATAATATTTATTTATACGTTTTGACCATTTATTTAAGAACTTGCGTCGATTTTTGAGAATTTTTGACAAAGTATGTTAAAAAGGTTTATATATAGGTATATAGTTATAAATAAATAACGAAAAAATAAATGGTCAGAACTTGTTGTGTCCCTAATATGTGTACATATTACCTCGTAGGATTGTGTCAACCAGTATAAGTTTGTTTAGTGGTTTTCTCTCCCATCTGCCGTCACAGTTAAGCCGCAGCAATGCCTCGTTTGAAAATGAATGTTTAATACCGCTGGCTACGTCCTCAGACACAGCTTTTATTTTTGATATATGTAATTGACCTTTGAAAACTTTATGTACAGCAATTAGAACGTGAAATATGTATTCCATAGTATAATTCATTATCATGGCTTGTGCATACTCTGGATCTTTTAATTTTGTTTCTATTAAATCCACAGCGCAATAGGACTGCAGTGGTAGAGAACTGGCGATGCGATGCAATTTTTTAGTATTGGATTTAAATCCGTTTTTCTTGCTCATGGCGGTATTAAAAGCTCTTTTATTCATTTTAAATGAAATATTTTATAAAACTTATCTTTATTTTTCCACAGCACTTTAAGTTTTGAGCATCTTTTCGTTTTGCGTCTTTCTTTTTTCGGTTGATGTGTGCATTTGAACTTCTTCAGTACCAAGTACTTTATAATACGGTTTTATTTATTACGTTTATATATAAAAAGAATGTCATACCACAATCAAAACTTTTATTTTTATTTACTTTTGCTATGAGCGGGGTCGAATAATGATAAAATTAAAATTAAACTAATTAAGTTCAAAATTATATCCAAGTACTTCAGTACTCGACATTATTTGGCAGGTACAACTACTTTTGTTGAGCACAAAATGCAACCCTGGTGAATCTTGTGGTTACTATGGCAACCAACTACCGTTACTTCTATCAGTATTGACACTCATTTGATCGATCAAATGACAGTCATTCCCTACAGAGCCAAACTGGCATATAAAATTTTGCATATGTGTTAGTTTTCGTTGTGAATGTGTTGGAGTTTCTATCAATCGCGTCTTGTAGGGTCAGTTATTCTAGACTTCACTTAATTTAACTTACCGTAAGAAATCATCAATGATTACTCAACACGTCAACTTAAGCCAAGAGCGGAAATATTTTGTTTTTATATTTTCTTTTTCAGCTGTTTAACAGTTCGCCGCCTTAAATGCCACATCAAAAAAATGCATGCAAACAAAAATGTTTGCTTTCATTAATTTTTAAGAAATAGAAAAACGAGAGTCAGGCAAGCCTGATTCTCTCACCGCTCTCAATTTCTATAAGAGCGTAACTTAAGAACCTAAAATCGACAGGTTCTTAGGTTTCTTACGGTAAGTTAAGCTTTAACTAACCGCCAACACAGTTTCTCATATAACAGGTTGGCCAAAATATTAAGTTAAGTTACGGAAATTAAGTCTAGACTAACTGAGCTTTAAGCCTGCTCACATTAAAAATGGGGGATGAACGAACACCAGAGCATAGCGTACAGTGCTTGCAAATACAGCTACCACAAGTGAACGCTACTTATAAAAGCTCAGTTAGTCTAGACTTAATTTCCTTAACTTAATTTAACTTAATATTTTGGCCAACCTGTTATATGAGAATCTGTGTTGGCGGTTAGTTAAAACCTAACTTAACCTAAGAAACTTAAGAACCTGTAGGTTTTAGATTCTTAAGTTACGGCCTTACATAAATTTAGAACGGTGAGAGAATCGGTTTTGCCATATGTTCATTTTTGTATTTCTTTACAATAAATTAACGCAAAACATTTTGTTTGCATGAATTTTTTTGATGTGGCATCCCTGGCGGCGAACTGCCAAACAGCTGAGAAGAAAAATATAAATCAAAACAAAACATTTGCAAATTCAAATTGTTGCGATAGATGACGAAAAACTGATTCAGCTCGTATCCACCAACAGGGAGCTTTTTGACAAATCCTGCGCTGGATATAAGTTGTTGGAGCGAAAAAATGATATATGGAGGCACATAGCAAAGGAGATGGACAGTATAGGTAAGTGGAACTGTGACGGATTGTAGGGCTTTGTGGTTATGGACTTTCTTTTGCAGATGAACAGTGTTCGCGAAGGTGGTTGGCATTGAGGGAAAGGTACGCCAGGGAGATACGACGACTCAATGCTCCATCTGGAAGTGGAGCATCGGCCGAAAAAGTTTGGCCATTAATGGACTCGCTACAGTTTTTAAAAAAGCATATAATTCCACGGAGGTAAGCGTTTTAAATATGGTATAAGATGGTAGTAAGATGCATATTTAATGCAAAAAATCATAATTGCAGGTGTAGAACGAGCAAAAACCTTATCGATTCCTTGCCGCCATCGCCGCAGGATCTTAGTCCATCGCCATCAATTTTGGAGCAAAGTGCGCAGCATTTATCATCATCACCTATTACGGTTCCAGAGTTGTGTCAAAGCGATTTATCGCCCTCCCCGTCAGGCTCCATGTCAGCAAATCGTAAGCGGGTAAAAAAAGAGGGGCAACGAACACGATATGGACAAGTTATTCTATGAGAGTGGAGATGTTCAAGCAGGCGTGCACAACTCCTGAAGCGGCAGGTGAAAACGACGTTGTTGATAACTTCACAAAGATGATGCAGGCATCAACCAAGCAGATGAGCGCTACAAAGCAAACCATTACTATGGAGCGCATAACGGCCGTTGTGATGGCGCTGCAGAGGGAGACGGAGCCATAATTCTTTTTAAGAATGTAATGTAATGCATGATAAAAACATTACAAGGTAAAATCATTGAGTGGCAGTCTGACTTTGCTAGCAATATAACTTTAAAATTCGAACTCAAGCTCACACACACATTCTCATTTTTAATCTCAAACAACAACAATTGTGAACAATTTAATTTACTTATTTTCAATTTTATATGATTTTAAAATGTTTGTAAACGTCAGAAACAAATTAATGATTTTACCTTCTAATGTTTTTAACAGTGGCGGACACAGGTAGGGGAAATTGGGGAAATTTTTTAATTCATGGAAAGTGTGTCAAATTTCACTTGAGTTTGAAATTTTAGCTGTGTGTTAAGCTCGATGTATTATGTTATTTAAGTAGGCCTATCAGTTTTTCGAATTCACTGAATTTTCAAAATGTTGAAATTATGCACTTAATTTTCAATTTTTACTTTTTTTGTTATTTTTTCAAATTTGTATTATTTTACCCAGTTGAAAGTCACAGCAAGTTTGAATATTTTTGCAGGTTCAGAAAACAACGAAAATTCCAAAATTTTGAATTTTATAATGTTATTATACTTCTTTAGATTTCTTATTTTTAGGATAATTTCCAAAATTTCAACAACTATCGAAATCCGGGAGATTCTAGAAATTTTGGTAAAATTTTCTATATTTTCCAAAATTTTGGGAATTTTATTTATCCTAAAATCCATCCTAAAACGTAAAAATGTTAAACATCATAAATTGTCGAAAAATTCTTATGTTCATGTACTTGTGTGTAAAAAATAGAAAATTCTTAGAATTCTAAGAGATTTTACCATTTTTGAAAAATTCCAGAATTGTTCCACTTTTCTGGACTTTTCAAAATTTGATATTATATAACAAAGTTTGAGAATTAAATTTTTTTGTTAATTTTGAAAACATCAACGTCCAAAAATTTGTTTAATCTTCAAGAATTACGAAAATTTTTTAAATTTTCAAAAACGACGAAATATTAAAATGTTTTCAACATTCGAAAACTTTTAATTTCGTTTGATCAATATTGTATATTCGACACTTTCACTTAAAAAAAAATTGTTAGTTTCTACAATTCTCAAAATTTTTGAAAAATAAAAAATTTCTAGAAATCTAGTATTCATCATTATATTGAATTATTGGGCCTTACTAAAATTTCTCAAATTAACAAAGTTTTGAAAGTTTAGAAAATTTTGGAATTCCACTCAAGTTATTAAAAAGGGGAAACTTCAAGAAATTAAAAACTAACAAAACTCTAAAAATTTTAAACTGCGGTGATTTTTAAATTTATGTACACGATGTATGTAAAAAAAATTCCCCCCCCCAGGAACTGCTGCTGGGTCCGCCCCTGAATATGTGTACATATTCTAGTAAAGTGGTCAGTATGTATACATATATGTATAATATGTACATCTATATATATAAAACAAAGTCGTGTTAGTTACACCATATATAACTCAAGAACGGCTGGACCGATTTTTATGATATATGTTTCTTGGATTTGTATACCATCCGAATAGCAGAATAACTATTAAAACAACAGCTAGGTGGCGCTGGAGTCGAGTAAAACCCGTATTTATGGTCCGATTCGCCTCATATTTGAGATGTGTATTGATAATAGGAAAAACAATACCACAGCAAAAAAAGCCGCCAGGTGGCGTAGGAGTCGAGTTATTACTAAAAATCGTGTTTATGGTCCGATTCGCCTCATATTCGAGATATGTATTGACAATAGGGAAAGCAATACCATTGCAAAAAAAGAGCCTCCAGGTGGCGTTGGAGTCGAGTTATTACTAAAAATCGGGTTTATGGTCCGATTATCCTCAGATTCAAAATATGTATTGATAACAGGAAAAATAATATGTATATCTAACTAAAAATCGTATTTATGCTCGAATTTATTTCATTATCGAAATATATGAATTCACATGCCGATGGTCGTCTGCAATAACGACGCAACTCAAAATTTAAGAAAATTAAATCCCCTATTAATTTTAACAGGCTCATGTCTCTAATCCTTGGCTAACCCATGTCTAATCCTAACTAAGTAAGTAGTGGAAGCGTTCATGGTAAAATTTTAGAACTTGGTACGAAAATATATCAAATCAGTCACATATTCATGGAGAGAAATTGGAGCTATTGGAAAAGGAGCGTGGCACCTCACACTGTATATCTCTGGAAATGTTCATGGTAGAGTACTGGAACTTGGTATGGAGGTACTATGTATATGAAATCAATCCCATACTCACGGAGAAAAGTAGGCTCTTTGAAAAGAGGGCATGGCAAAGTGACTTTTCCTTATCTTTGAATGTGTATATAATTCTTCTGTAGGTATGTTTGTGAGCGAAATCCGAAATGGCTGGAGGAATTTCAAAAAAGTTGTGTGTGTGTGTGTGTATTTGAGTGAGTCTCTGGATAGTTTAGTTTCACAATTTAACCCGCCAGTTGGCGCTGGAGTTGAGTTATTACTAAAAATCTTTTTTTAAGATCCGTTTTGACGAATATTCAAAACATGTATTGGAAACAGTAAAGGAAGTCCAATTGCAAAAAAGAGATGTGAGGTGATGCTGAGCTCGAGTTATTACTAAAAATCGACAAGTGAGAAAAGGTGCCGTGAATGTCAGACTAAATCGACCTGTTGCACCATTGAGTATATCGAACTCTCGTGTATTTAGGGATGCAAACGATGCATCGTTATTTTTGAAACATCGATAATATCGTTCGAAATTCGATGTTTACCATCGATGTTTACAATTTCCTAAAATCGATAAATATACGATATATCGATGCGAGTTTCAGCGATGTTTTAACATCGAATTATGCTCCTAAAATTTTTTGACTGGCCATGAATTTTAATATTTATTCTTTTAGAAGGAACATTCAGAAATTCTGAGTTTACTCTTATCTTTCGATATTAAAAATGCATACTTAGTCTTTAAAAAAGGACCGGGATCCCGTTGAAATTTCTACGAAATTGGGCCTTGGAACTTTAGACCCAGCCAACTTACGACGGCATGCATTTCTAATCTATTTATTGGGAAGGAATGGTAAATAAATAAAAGCAATAATTGAATTACAGAGAGTTGGAATTGAAAAGTATTAATTTTCCTATAAAATTTCGAAACATCGGAAACCATCGATATATCGATGTTTTTCTGGCGATGTATTTTAGCATCGATGTTCATTTTTCCGATGCATCGAAACATCGATGTTACTCCTCAAAACTTGAATCCCTACGTGTATTACGATTGGCCTAATGGATGTGATTTGCCAATATTATTATGCGTTAAAGCTTCATTCGGACATACCAGGGTTGATGTGTGCAGTGGTAAATCTCAAACCACTGCCTGTCGAAATACCTTAAAAGCCAGTTTAATAAAAGCAATTTAATGAAAATTTATTTTTTTAATTGAATTTAATATAGAACCTGACGGAAAAAAATATTATTCTTATTCTTTCTTTTCCGCTCTGTAACTTTTTAGTGAACAAATAAAAAAGTGGTGCACGAGGATCATAGTTCAATAGTATATTGTACAATAGAGCACACACGTGATTGGCTAAATTTTTAAATTGCAGACGGTGTGCTAATATAAAATATGCATTTTTACTTTGGTGCACGCATCGTAACCTTATAAATAAGTTGTTTGTTTTTAACTATCTTCTAATGAGAGCACATAGGCCTGCCACGTTTAGATTGATTCCTTTTATGCTCCAGAACACTATGCAAGTTGTCAGATAACAGTTTTAGGTACGCACCAGCCACAGTGTACTATAAAAGCCACGAGTATCAGAATTTCAAAAAAGGAGTCACGCCAATTTGACTCTTCATAACTTCTTTTCTATTGCAAGCACATAATTCTAACGGATTTTCTAGCAAATTTTTGCAACAACTTTTTGATTTAAAATTAGGGATGTGCCGGATAACCGGATTTCGGATACCAAGTAAAAAAGAGCTGGATTCGGATATCCGATCAGATATCCGGTAGATTGTGCTGTCCTTTATAAATTTCACAATATCTATTGCTGTATTAGTTTTTTTTTTTGTGTAGCGACCTACTTATGACCAGATTATCTGCTTTCACGTGCTGAACTACAGTACGTAATTAACAACACAAAATTTCTCCTCTGAGATCCAAGCTATAAAATAATCCTGTATTAAAAAGATAACTTCTCACTACGCAAACCTGATATAGCGATTAATTTTAGTAAATAGAGAACGTCAAAAATAAGAGGTAGAAAACAATTAACGCTGCTCAGCAAACACGCGTGGTTGGTGTATTTCTAACCGACTTCCAAAAAAGGAGGAGGTTATCAGTTCATCGGAATATTTATTTTTTTTTGTTTTTTTTTATGTATGTTACCGCATAACTTTGGAGCACGTCAACCGATTTCGATAACTCTTTTTGCATCGGAAAAGTAGTGTCTCAGAGGTGGCCCCGTACTAACATCCGAACAGTGGATCATGATATATATATATATATGTATATATATATTTTTTTATATGAGAATTGAAGTCGGTTTTTTTTTTGCTAAAAATTACTTGTTTTATTTCTTCTGCTCCTTGAAAGTATTTTTGCATTTTTCATTTATTTTATCAGTTTAATTTAATACAATTTTTCAAACAGGTGGAAACCCTCATTAAATATATTCCCGCCAATAAACTTTCCTAAACCTATTCAGGTGGATACCCATATATCAATATTCAACTTACCTTATCAATTAAATTAAATTAAAATTTTCATACAAGTGGCAACCTTCAACAAAAATATTTTCGGCCGTGGGCCTTCTTAAACGTCTTTCTTTTGACAGCCATATTGCCATATTTACTTTATCTTGTTAATTTCCATAACAACAATTTTCGAAGAAGCGCCAACTCTCTAATTTTTTTCTTTCTATATTTTAAGTTAGACTTCTAGC